CTGTTATCACACACTGGTCCAGAGGAAGCCCTGCACCAGGGTCATGGAGACATCACTGTTATCACACACTGGTCCAGAGGAAGCCCTGCACTAGGGTCATGAAGGAGACATCACTGTTGCCACACACTGGTATGGCTGGTTGTTATTTCAGTTCTGGTTCTGCCATGTGTCTCTGGAGACATCATTACTTGAGAGGACAAAGCTGCTGGTTCCATAAGATGATTGCTCCTGCATTTAGGGAGGGGGCAGTCCGGTTTCCTTTAGGGGGTAACTACTGTCACATGAGAAGTAACGCCCTCATGAGTGATCTGTCTGTGAGGCTCTGTTGTTCTTGGGATCCAAGATGACTGAAGAGTTAGAACATGACTGGAGAATTTCAGATGCCTTGGGGGCTAGAGCAGGGTATTATGGAAGCTGACACCAGATGCCTTAGTTGGTCTTATCTTTGTGCCTTCATTCTTCAAGGGGACAAGATGGGTTAGGTATTACTAGTTCTTAGCCGGAACTCTGTGAGTGATTAACATGCCTATGGGTAGAGTAGGCAGGAATCTAGTCCAAGTAAAGGGCACAGACACAGGTGAAGGCTGAGCTGCCACCCTGCTTTTAGTTACTTAAGGTCCCCTGTGGGGAGGTCGGTGCTTCCCAGTTCTCTGTGCAGAAGTGCTCAGCCGTGTTATTGCACCATATCCACATCTTTTCTGTCTGCGCTACGGCTTCCAAAGTTGGGCGGCTGAGAGAGCTCAGACTGGAGACCACAGGGCTGGGATCCCAAATGCACTGCATACTTTAAAGATACTAGTATGCTCTGAGTTGAGTCAGGTGACTCCGGGCTGAGCTTCCTCCCGTGTACAAGGAGGAATGTCCCAGATGAAGGCTGTGTTGACCTATTGCTGCTAAGAGTGGACTTTCAGGCCATTGTGGGGAGGGATGAACGAGGCCCTTCTAGAGATCCTGTACAGTCCGCTGAGCAGGCTGGTACTTGCTCTCCCTCCAAGCACCAGGCCCCAGGCACATACTCTGCTTTTCTTTCTCCTATATTAAGTTGCAAGGCAGGAAGGGTCTTGCTACCAGGTTTCTGTATTGTGGCCTGCTGAACACACACACACACACACAAAACAAAAACAAAAACAAAAACAAAAACAAAAAACGAGCAATATCCCTGGACAAGAAGGAAGGAAAGAAGTACACACTTCCCACGGAGCTGCACCCTGCTCTGGTAACTTCTGTGATTTGTTTGGTTCTGTCTAAGCTATGCCCACATCAGTTCACACAACAGCCATTGAGCTGTATGGGAGAACCAAGCCTTGTCCAGAAGCAACATGCCTTCCGGCAGTATAGCTCCAAACGGTCTCGAGTATTCTCTAAGTATGATCATTGACCATATGCATCTTTGCATGGCACAGAGGTAGAGAAAATAAAGAAATGAAGATTCCTCAGCCCCGCAAACCTCCTAAATCAATATGTTGAGATGGGCCAGGGAACATTTTGAATACCTGCAGGTGACTTACGTCTGCAGCCAAATGCTCACTCAAAACCAAGAGCTGAGAAATCAATACATTTCTGCTCCAGAGCCCTGATCTTGCAGGTACTGGCTATGTTCATCACCAACCCAGGTAGTGAGCAAAGTTATCGGCATACTCCCAGTGAAGCTGCAGCAGGCCTCATGAGGAGGCTGGATTAACTGGTCATCCTTTGAAAGTGCATCCCACATGAATTATCTGAACTTAGCTCGAATTCCTGGGCTTTTGTGTCAGAGACACAGCATTGTGGAGGATTCATAGTAGTCATTGGAATGTGAGGCAGAAAGGCTTAGTAGTTGCGGATGTATTTGCCCTCATAACTGAGCCATCATAGAAATAGAGAATTAGAGGTGCTCAATAAAACAGACGCTTTCCATGTGAAGTCCCAGGATCCTCTGCTGTCTGGCGGGGTAATCTCACTTCTGCCTTAGCCCTTGGGTTACTTACTTTCTGTTCTGATGAAATGCCAAGACCAAGGCAGTCAGAGAAGAAAGGCTTTACTGTGACGTATGGTTCCGGAGGGCTAGAGTCCATAGTAGTTAGTCTGAAGTCCCAAAGTCTTCCACAATCCTCTGGGAAACATGGTCAGGTTCTTTACAACAACAGCCCACTCCTTGGTACCAACTTCTGTATTAGTTACCTTTCTGCTACTGTGATAAACACCATGGCCATAAACAAAAAACAAACTTGTGGAGGAAAAGGTTTATTTCTACTTGTACTTCCACATCACAGCCCATCGGTGATGGACGTCAGGGCAGGAGCTCAAACAGGAACCTGGAGGTAGAGACAAAAGCAGAGGCCACACAGGGATGCTGCTTACTGGCTTGCTCTCATGGATTGCTCAACCTGCTTTCTTACAGCATCCAGGACCATTAGCCCAGGGGTGGCACTGCCCGTAGTGAGCTGGGCCCTCCCCCATCAATCATCAATCGAGAAAATGCCCCACGGGCCGATCTGGTGGGGGCATTTTCTCAATAGTCATTTGCTCTTCCCAAATGAGGCTATCTTGTGTCAAGTCAACCTAAAACTAGCCGGCGCACACACATTGTATGCTATATTGAAATTGCGTGTTCGTTCACGTCAATAGTGTCTGTGTTTCTTTCCCTGGGGAACTGGATAGGCAGCACTAGGCTCTCGCTTGCACTGTGGTGGTGGGTGCTCATCTTGACCCCTGCTCTCCTCTCTTCCCAGTTCTTGGCCCAGCTGATGATGTTCCTGATCAGCTTTGTAAGCTCGGTGTTCTGTGGCCACCTGGGCAAGCTGGAGCTGGACGCTGTCACCCTGGCAATCGCGGTACGTTATTAGACTTTCCTCAAAAGCTTACAGAGCTGTCTGCCATGCGCCTCCTGCTGCTGTGACAAATGACCAGAGCCCAGTGGTTTAATCGTGCTGTATGTTTCCTTAGAGTGCTTGGAGGTCAGGAGTCTGAAACAGGTTTCACTGGGCTAGAGTCAGGGTGCCAGTGGGGTGGCAGCCTTAGGAATTATCGTTTTTTAGGGTGCTCTTGCAGATTACCAGGCCCGCTGAGTTGGATGAAGCCATCTTTGGAAGGCATTATCCCAATTACCATACCACTTGGTATGTGATCCTTGGAGCTTAGAGTTTGGATATGGGAAAAGGGTGCCTGGAAGTTTGCTGAACTCAGGAGGTGCCGCCTTACCTTTACACCAGCATTTCCAATACAAATGGGAGCCCTAATCCAGAAATGGAACGTGAGGGTAGGGTCTAGATCCAAACCAGTCTCCAAATCTGAAACTGAGAGGAGCCCCAAATTCTCTTTTCGGTGGATGCAACCCTCAAAGACAAGGTGATATGCCACCGACCTCTGCTAGGGATTGGTAACTGGCCTTGCAAGGTCAAGAGAGTCCCATCAACTTATTTGGCTTAGTTAGTCATGTGTTTCTTTAAACATGGACTCTGGCTCTTTGCAGGGTGTATTCCTGTTCTCCTTACCCCCCCTCCTTGTCCTGCCCTATCTCTACTTGCCTGGTCTCTAGGCAAACCCTATACCATTGAGCAACTCCATAGCTCCTTATTTGAAAACCTGAGGCAATGTGGAAGTATATGCAGGTAAGCCTCAACAGGTTGCTATTGGCTGAGGTCTTGGGACAAGCCAGCCCTTTAGGCAGGCTGAGCTCAGCTGTTGTCAGATTCAGTGAGGCAGCAGCAGGAGGCCCCCTGGATGCTACTTCCCGATTCTAGTGAAGGCCAGTGTGCCTGTAAAGCAGTCTCCAGCAGACACTGGCTTTGCTTCTGTGTCCTTCATGTGAGTCAGGGGCTTGACCCAGGCCACACTGGTGAAGCGGCCCTTATTTGAAATGCAGGATGGAAGTGTCTCAAGTCCCTCTGTGCATTTCAGAATACTGGCACACTTTAACCAGTTGAACATGCCTAATCTGAAACTCCAAAATCCACACTGCTCCCAGATCTGAGATGCTGCGATTTGTCGTGTCGGTGTTAAAGTTTCAGATTTCTGAACATTTTGGAAGAGAGATGCTCAACGGGTCCTTAGTCTCAAGAGAGCAGACTCACCCCAAACTGTCACACTGTGTTCCTTCAGGAGCGGCTCTGAAGTTGGGGAGCAAGATAGCTAAGACTTCAGAAAGGCTGTGCTGTTATCTCTGGCCTGGGATTTTAGGGTCCTTCTCTGAGCTTTTGCGTGTCCTTCTAGCTGACAAGAGTGATCTGAGCAGGCGCTCTAGGAGGGGGTCGGTCACATCGTGGTTCTGATCTACAGGAACAGAAAACAGGCCTCCTTTACCTCACTCTCTCTTTTCTTCCAGGTTATCAATGTCACTGGCATTTCAGTGGGGCACGGCCTATCTTCCGCGTGTGACACCCTCATCTCCCAGGTAAATGGAAGTGATCACCTTCTCAGTGACTCCAGACATCTTTGGTGCAGATGGAGAAACTCACTACAAGAGGGAGAGTTGTGCACACACCCAGATGAGGAATCAGAGCAGCAAACCCTGCCACCCTTTGCCGGCTGCAGACTCCGGTTTTCACAGCTGTCTTTGAAGTGTGGCTAGGGTTCTTTCAGCCCTAGCCAAAGTCTTGTTCTGCATGACTGCCATTGATCAAACAGGGGACCTCCTATAACTTTCCTGTGCTATGGATCTGTAACAGAGTCTGCATCAGGGCTGTCGGGAGGGCTTGCCCAAGCGCAGGTCGCTGGGCCCCACCCAGGGCTGTGGGTGCATGTTCAGCATCCTCCAGGAGGGTGGTATTCGGCTTGCATATGATGCTCTTTGACTGTGATGGGTTACATCTGGATAGATCTATCCTAAATAGAAAATACCCTAAGATAAAAATGCATTGAATCTCTCTCACCTAGTGGACATCCCAACTCAGCAGCATGGAACACATCTTGGTTTCCTCCCCACCCCCCGTGATCCGTAACTGAGTGGGAGCAGAGGCTCCTGTGGTGCCCAGCACTGGATGACAGGACCACACCCCATATCACTAGCCTGGGGAAGGATCTAAAATCCAACTTCAAGGTTGGTTTCCACCATGTGTGCATTTCTTTTGCACCAGCCTGGAGTTGAAAAGTTAAAGCCAGTCCATCTTAAGCATAGGGCAGTCCCGTTGGTGTGTGTTCCCCTCTAGAGCTGGCCTGAAGTCCCCACATAGATGTTACTGGACAGAAAGCTGAGAGACACCGGCACCCTTTGGCTTCTGTAAGTTGGTAGGAGCCAGTGCCCCACACTGCTGACCCTTGGCCCAGTCCCTGCTTTTAGGTCTGGAGTCAGGCCCAAGAATCTGCATTTCTAACAAGCTTCCAGGTGATGCAAAACCTGACAGCATTCTAGAACCGAATGGGTCCTTTGACACATCATTGCTACGTGGGTCCCGAGTAGTATGTTTTTGTCATGCTGGGCAGTGCAGCAAGCCCAACTCTCAATCAGCCACAAGCTCTTTCCCTAGAGAGAATGGCCAAGCCACCTGCTTTCTTATGAGGCATGACCTTTGAGGGACAGCTGGGGTGTGCCTGTCTAATGGGTTTGTTTGCCTGTGCTCCCCAGACATTCGGGAGCCAGAACTTGAAGCACGTGGGGGTTATCCTGCAGAGGGGGATCCTCATCCTGCTCCTCTGCTGCTTCCCTTGCTGGGCCCTCTTCATCAACACTGAGCACATTCTGCTGCTCTTCAGGCAGGACCCAGAGGTATCCAGGTAAGGCAAGGCTGGGGGCAGGGCATCCCTCTCTGTAGAAAGATCATCCATACTCAGGGGTGACAGAGGCCAGGGAATCACACAAAGATGAGCTTAACCTGGGCATGGCTGCTCCTTCTCAGGCACTGATACCTTCTATATCTGCCTTGAGAGACCTGGATTCCTCTCATTACTGGCTTCCAGGGTTGAGAGTTTGGAATGGAATTGCATTGACAAAGAACTTCCCATTGGGATCGCAGTCTGTGGCTTGTTAATGCTTAGTGATTCCTGGCCCCGGTTGGTATTAAAATCACCTTGGTACTTCAGATACTTCTCTAGGCCTCTAGTCCCCACACCCCCAGGTTATTAACTGGTACAGGTGAGGCCCGGAGCATCAGTAACTTTCAAATCTTCTATGCGTGAGCTGCCATGTTTAAGACCCACTGGCTTAACTGATTAAGACCTTTGAAAAGCACTTGCCCCATGCCAGTATTTGACAATAGCTGAAGACGTGCCTGGATATCACATTGGGTAGAGGGGCTTGGGAACCAGGAAGGCCGAGAGACAGCTTGTGGTGCCCTGGGCGACTCCCACAGCCGGGACTGTCCAGGGGCACTGTGAGGCTCAAAATCCCTGTCCTAGATCTTTAGATAGGAAGAAGCAGGAAGGCGAGCCAGAATGCCAGGATGACAGATTTTGTACAGTTTTCCATTTGCTCCGACAGCCGAAGTCCATTTGTTTAGGAAGAACCAAGAATGCGCCAGCAGTGTTGAGTGTTTCATTCCGCCCCTTCCCGGGAGAGTGGCCTCTGTCATCATTGTCACTCTTTTCTATTGTACAGGCTCACCCAGACCTATGTTATGATCTTCATCCCAGCGCTTCCAGTGAGTCTGCAAGGGGTCAGAGACTCCATTCCTGGGTCCTTGGGTAAAAAGTGACAGAGATGTCACGAGCTCAGTCTAACATAATTCTCACATGTGACATCGGCTCATCACAGAAGCATGCTTTTAATTATGTCCCTTAAGGACACACCAGCATTTTTGTCTCCCAAAGAACAAAGGAAACTCTAGGATGGGGGTCATTGCCTTGACTTCTTGTTCCTGGCGTACCCTTGGAGCATCCAGCAGAAGAGTCCAGAATGTTTCTTTAAGGGGTAAAGTCTTGTCCATTCCAGATCCCTCAAGAGCATCCCTTTGACCTTTAGACGGTTGTCTGTTAATGTTTATAGCAAGTTGTAGCTGGTCAATGAACTGTCAAAGCTAAGTTTATTTAATTGGGTAGAGGGGCTGGATGTTTGCTGGGACTGCCAGACTGGGGGCCCAAACAGCAGAAACTGATTTCCTCACAGTCTGAAGGCTGGAAGTCCAAGATCCCGGTGAGGGCCTCAGTGGTTTCCCTGTGGCCACTATCCTTGGTCAAAGGTGTCTCTTTTTGTTCCCACATAACATGGTCATCTCTTCTTATAAACATACTAATCGGGGCTGTTGAGATGGCTCTGTGGTTAAGAGCACTGGCTGCTCTTCCAGAGGACCAGGCTTCAATTCCCAGCACCCACAACTGTCTGTAACTCCAGTTCCAGGGGATCTGACACCTTCATACAGACACACATGCAGGCAAAACACCAATGCAAGTGAAATAAGAATAAATAAATCATTAAACATGTTATAAACGCACTAATCCTATTGGATTAAAGCCCACCCCAGGGCCCTCATTTTGATTTAATCCCCCTCTAAATCCAGTTGCATACGGGGATAGGGCTTCTGGGGATGAATTTGAAGGACTCAGTCTGCCGTAATGGCAGCCACTCGCCCTCAGAATTGGCATTGTACTTCTTAGTTCATCATAAAATGTTTTATTTTACTTTTAATCTTTATATTGTGGGGCATGGAGCCCAGGGCCTTGCGTGTTAAGTGAGTACTCTAGCCCTGAGCTGTACCCTCAGCTCTATCCCGTAAAACCACTTAAATGTGACATGTTTTCCTTATCCCACCAAATAAGTCGAGTGCTTGGCTGTACTAGGACGCCAGTGTACACCCCAGCAGACAGAACCTCCTTGGCACTCCCAGCCAGGGAGCGAGGGCGTACCTCTTCTGTGGCTGGGACAAAATACCGAACAGAAGCAACTTAGAACAGGACTTACTTTTAGCTCATAGTCCCATGATGGTGTGGTTGGCTCCTCTTAGTGACCCCAGGAGCCCACGGACGCTTGCTTATAGCTCAATGCCACCCGCCTCTCCCTACAGGAAGCAGGAGATCAGGTCTGTAGTGGGGCCAGGCAGAACCCATGACCCTGTATTTCCCAAACATTCCACAACTTCCTCAAAATAGCCTGACTACCCGAGGACCACATGCTTAAACACACGAACCCTCAGGAGACGTTCCATGTTCCACCCAGGGCAGGCACTGTTTGGATTATGTTCATTCACACGGAAGGTGTGTGAAGCCGCCAGACTACAGACACTGGTCGCCCCAGGTCTGGATGAGGCTTTGTGGCATGGAGGGCAGCCAGGGTGGCTGTGGGACAAGCTGTATGGCACCCAGATCTCTGATGTACGGTCAGGCTGCAGAACTAACCCTGCCCTCTTGTTCTCTCGCAGGCAGCCTTCCTTTATACGATACAAGTTAAATACTTGCTCAACCAGGTAATGCGGACTACCCTCTTTCCTTTGGGGAGGGGGTGATAGAATCAGGGAGGCCAGGGTGGAGGGAACGGGCCTGCTGAGAGTCACTGAAAGCTACCTTCAGGCCTGTGAACACAGGGCTTTGATGTGGAGAGGTTTCTTAAGTGACATCAAGGAGTGACTGAAGCATTATTCTTGGCTCTGAAAATTTATGTCCAGTTCCTACTTGGAAATATTGCCATTGGCAATGCTAAGGTTAGCATCTCTGTGTTCTTTGGCTCTTTACTGGTACAGGCCTGTCTGCTCTCTGTAAAGGGCTGAGGGTCACAGAGGCTTGGCTGGGTCTAGGGAGTCCACACCTCTTCTCGGTTTGTGTGAAGGCTCCTACTCTCTGGGGCAGAGGGTGTCAAAGCTCAAATTGTATTGATAACAGAGAACAGTCAAGACTCTTCATACATGGCTAACAGCAAAGGCCAAAGGCCCTGGGAACGGTGGCCCTGATTTGGTGGGAGTGGATTTATGAGGACAGTGTGTGTTATGGGGCTGTGGACTTCCTTCTAGAAAAATCCAGGTAAAGGAGGCAGGCTTCCTCTAGCATGTGTAATAGGGAGGCATGGATGGGAGGTAGAAAGGGGCAGGGAAGTTTCCCACTTACTGGATACTTTATTAATGTTAGATTTATGTACTTGAACTAGTTGAACATGGGTGATAGAAACAGCATTTCTAATTGGTCTCTAAGCTGTCTCTTCTCTGTCTAGACCCTTGTAGGTACCAGGTAGAATCCTCTGTATGTCACAGTGGCTCCTGCCTGTCTTTCTGTCTCCCAGTGGTGTGGTGAGCTTTTATCTCATGGATGGAGAGTGTGAACATGACACTTTCCAATAGCTGAGGCTGGGGAAAGTAGAGAACTGTAGCTGAGAGGGCTGGGGGAGATGTCCTGAGTTAGGGTGGACTAGTGTAGCTCTAGGATCTGGAGGGAAGTGTTCCCAGACAGCAGGTGCCATGCACCAGTCACTAGGCAGGAGAGCTGGGTGTGGTCAGGCTGCTACAGTCGAGAAGATAGTGCACAATGGCTTACCAGGAGCAGGCTGGCTGGTCTGCTGAGCATCGTGTTGTGTCTCCTGGGGCTTGGGTTGGTAGAAAACAAACTAATTTGTGGCGCAGAGATAAGGATTACGAAAATGGTGGGCTGACAATGGCCTAAGAAGAAGAAAGAATTGCCCCGAAGGAGCAGGACCCATGGTGATCGGTGGACTCTGGAGACTGGGCAGTGGGCTCTGGGAGGGCCAGGAGTGTTCTAGCCCAAGCATACTGGAAGAGGGCAGAACCCTTGACTCTGCATTTTCCAAACATTCCCCAGCGCAGAGGAAAGACAGGGAATACAGACCTGCAGCAGAGGAGGGGGAGGAACTGGGCAGGGAAGGGCACAGGGCTGGACCTCCCTTGGCCCTCCTTGAGAAGGGCACCTGCCTCCTCCGTGTCCCCAGCTGTCATGTATATCCCCATCTGACCATTTTGCTGGCTGCCGGGAGGCAATGGGGAGCGTGCTGCACACGTGACTTCACCTTGGCCTGCAGCCTCCTCCCCGCTTTATTCAGTTGGCGCCTCTGTTCTTTCTCCCTCTACTGTCCATTATCGACCCTTGTCCCTGGGGCTTTTCTTTCATTTTCCTGTTTGATCAGTCACCTAGTCCTGTGGGTCTCTCTTTCTGATGAAAATTATTAGTGTGTGTGTGTGTGTGTGTGTGTGTGTGTGTGTGTGTGTGTGTGCGCGCGCGCATACCACAGCATGCCCCAGTGGAGGTCAGAGGCCCCAGAGGAGGTCAGAGGTGGAGTCAGCTTTCTGCCTCCACTGTATGGGTCCTGGGATTGAGCTAGGTCATTAGACAAGGCAGCAAGTGCCTCTACCTAATACATCATCGTTTGCAGTTACCTAGTGGGCTCCTGAATTCACTTCTCGTCACTTCAGTAGAATCTTGTTTACCAGCCTCCTTGCTCTCTGATTACTGGTGTCTTAGTTAGGGCTTCTATTGCTGTGAAGAGACACCATGACCATGGCAACTCTTTTATTTATTTATTTATTTATTTATTTATTTATTTATTTATTATTTTATTTTACAATACCATTCAGTTCTACATATCAGCCATGGGTTCCCCTATTCTCCCCCCTCCCACCCCCTCCCCTTACCCCCATCCCACCCCCCATCCCCACCTCCTCCAGGGCAAATCCTCCCCCGAGGACTGTGATCAACCTGGTAGACTCAGTCCAGGCAGGTCCAGTCCCCTCCTCCCAGACTGAGCCAAGTGTCCCTGCATAAGCTCCAGGTTTCAAACAGCCAACTCATGCAATGAGCACATGACTTGGTCCCACTGCCTAGTTGCCTCCCAAACTGATCAAGCCAATCAACTGTCTCACCTATTCAGAGGGCCTGATACAGCTGGGGGCCCCTCACATGGCAACTCTTATAAAGGAAAATATTTAGTTGGGACTGGCTTACAGTTCAGAGGTGCAGTCCATTATCATCATGGTGGGAAGCATGGCGGCATTCAGGCAGACATGGTGCTGGAGCAGGAGCTGAGAGTTCCACATCCAGACCAGCAGGCAGCAGAAAGCGACAGTGACACCCTGGCTAGGCTTGAGCATCTGAGACCTCAAAGCCCACCCCAGAGCGACACACCCACTCCAACAAGGCCACACCTAACAGTGCCACTCCCTATGGACCTATGGGGGCTGTTTTTATTCAAACCACCACACCTGGTCCCCTCAAAATGCAGGCTGGCTGCTTTTCCACACCAGAGATGTGAATCTGACTACAGACTCCCTTACTTGGAACTCAGCAGGGGCTCACACGGAGCTCACTTGAGCTGTCCGTCACACTTTAGTCCTGCTCCTGTCTGCCGGAGGCCACCAGAGACAAAGCTGCAGTTGCGTTTTGTTCCTTGATGCACCGAGGGTCCAGGGGTGTCTGGGGTGTCTGACCAGACAAGGAGGGGATGTGAGGGCGAGTGTCTGGAGAAGCAGCCAGGTGTGGTGGACTGCAGGCCTGCCTGTGATCTTAGCATTCAGGAGACAGAGGCAGAGCGGTTATGAGTTCAAATGCAACCTGGGCTATCTAGTGAGGCCCTGCCTTGTAAAATCAGTTTACGGATGGTCATGACCAGGTGACATTTAAAGGAAGTCTTTAAGAGCAAAGTCCTTCGTGAGGGGCAGTGCAAGGGTCTCTCCGTCTGGAGACTGCAAAGCTGAGGTGTAGAGGTAGATGCGTGCAGATCGCTGCATTGAGGACCTCACGTGGCATTCGGCATCTGGATCAGACATCAAAACTGCTTAAATTTCTTTATTTTTTTCATAGTGCTGGCATGGAAGCCAGGGCCTTGGTCGTAGTAGGCAAGCATCATTATGAACTGAGCTATACCCCCGACCCAAGTGATGCTGATCTTCTAGGCAAAAGGAGAGTGTTTTTGTCTTCCCAAAGCAAAATTTTAAATGGCCTCTGATTCTCATATCAGCATTTCTCAGTGAGAAAGCAGCATTCAAAGAAGGTGGGGCTGGGAGGGTGGAGGTAATGCCACCATGGAGAAGAAGAGAAATGCTGTCTAGCTCCCGCTGCAGCCGCAGCTTCTGTTCTTACCCTCCTGATGCACGTGAGGCAGGCTGTGATGTCCTCGGTCCAATGTAATTTTATGATCACACCCTAAACGTTACTTAAATTTGCTACTTGAATTATTTTTCTTGCAGTACTGGCAGCATAGCCCAGGGCCTTGCAGATGCTGGGCGAGTGCTCTACCAAGGAGGGAGGCCCCACTTCCTCCAAGTCTTTTAGGATTGTTTGTTTTGTTTTCTATTCAAAGACAAGGTGTTCTAGTTTCTCTCTGTTGCTGTGAAAACGCTCACCCCAACCAAACTGGAGGAGTAAAGGGATTGTCTGGCTTATAAGCCCTGAACACAGTTGATCATTGCGGGAAGTTGGAGTGGAAGTCAGAGCAGCGGAGCCATGGAGGGGTGCTGCTCATTGGCTTGCTTGCTCCCCATGGCTCGCTCAGCCTGCTTTCTTATACAAGCCAGAACCACCTGGCCACAGGTGGTGCCACCCACAGTGGGCTGAGCCCTCCCACATCAGCCATCAGCACAGACACGCCCATAGGCCAATGCAATGGAGCAATACTTCGACTGAGTTCCTTCCCAGGTGACTTTAGTTTGTGTAAGTTGAAAAAAAAAAATTAACCAGAACCCAGGGTCTCCCTATCTCGTTCAGGATGACTTTGAACTCAAGATCTGCCTGCCACCACCTTCCCAATGCTGTCACCACAGGTCCCAGCTCTCCTAAGCCTGCACACATGTCTGTGTACCACTTGTCTGCCTGGTGCCAGTGGGAGCAGAAGAGGGCATTGGGTCCCCTGACACAGGAGTTACAGATGGTTATGAGCTGCCATGTGGGTCCTGGGATTTGAACCTGTGTCTCTGGAAGAGCGGCCCATGCTTTTAATTGCTGGGCCATCTCTTCAGCCCCTCCCCTTGGCTTTAATGTAAGGCATAAAGTAGGGAGGACATTTTTTTCCCCCTGCTCCTGCTTCTCAGAGCTGGTTATGAAGGAATCCAGTCTCCATTTCAGGAAGAAACACAGTTTTACAAGCCTTTTGGTCCAGCTTCTGAATTTGAGTTTTGGTGGAGAAAGCAGAGTCTATCGCCAATGGCTTGCCAATGCCGCCTTGCCTTCCGCTCTGCTAATTCCTGCCTCTCTTGCACACAGCAGGGAGAGTCTCTGTTTTTCTTCCCCTCCCTGCTGCCTTCTCACCTCCTACCCCTTGGAGGCCAGAGCTCTCTCTTTACTCACTGCAAAGAGGAGGACCCAGAGGGGAGGGGAGAGCGGGAAGGTGAGAGGCATGCCCAGCTGACTGCTCCTGTTATGCCCAAGTCCCCTGGTGCTTCAGCAAGGAAAGCCATGTGTGTGTCTCTTCGTTCCAGGGCATTGTTCTGCCTCAGATCGTGACGGGCATCGCAGCCAACCTGATCAATGCCCTGGCCAACTATGTGTTTCTCCATCAGCTGCATCTTGGGGTGATGTGAGTCCAGCTTCCTTTTGGGCAAGGGGGGCTGCATTAGCCTTTTCCAGGGGAAAGAGGGCAGTTTAGCTGGTGTGGGTGTGGCCTTCTTATGCCCTTTGGAAAGTGCTGTTGGAGCGAAGGGGATGCTGCCCTACATAGAAGTAATCTCAGGGTCTGTGGTGGAGGAGGGTACAGTGAGGGAGGGGCACATGACTCCCCAACGCACCGAGCCAGGGAAGAGAGGATGGAGCACAGTGTCCACCCACACCTGCTGGTCTTCCCAGGGGTTCAGCAATGGCCAACACCATCTCCCAGTATGCCCTGGCCATCCTCCTGTTCCTCTACATCCTCTGGAGAAAACTACATCAAGCCACCTGGGGAGGTAAAGACGACGTTTTGATTGGGCCGTGGCTTTTGTCTGAAGGTTAGACACGTTGGAAACCCATCTGTTGTACCTGCAGGGTGGTCCTGGGAGTGTCTGCAGGACTGGGCCTCCTTCCTGCAACTGGCTGTGCCCAGCATGCTCATGCTGTGCATCGAGTGGTGGGCCTATGAGATCGGCAGCTTCCTGAGCGGTGTGTATGCAGGCTGGTGGGAACCGGCTGGTGGGAACAGTCTGCCTGGGGCAAGGCATCAGTTGCCCGTCTTTACCAGGTATCCTTGGCATGGTGGAGTTGGGAGCCCAGTCCATCACCTATGAATTGGCTATCATTGTATACATGGTAAGTGTTCAACACCCTGTCGTGTGGCTGTGGTAAAGGTGTCCTGTTTTCTATCCTGAGAGTCCTACAGTGGCACACTGTATGAGATGGTTCCTAGACATAAAGTGCCCCTGTGAGCAGGGACTGGTGATATGGACATGTGATTACAGTTACTCCGTGGGTGAAGCAGGGAACTCCTAAGCTCAAAGCTGGACTTTGCTAAGGAGGAAGATAATTTCTCCAAGTAAAAAATAAAAACGGTGGGAATATCTCAGTGGTGGAATGTTTGCCTAGTACTCACAAGGTCCTGAGTTCCAGCCCTGTCCCCCTCCCTCAGAGAGTCAACTTGGAGCCTGGACAGGCCCTTTATGCTTGGTATGGTCAGGTCTCCCCGTAAGCTAAAGGGGATAGGGTGGGCAGAAACCCCAAACAATCTGCTAATTCAGTCTCTGGTCCTAAAGTAGTTGACTCTGTTTCCACACTGTCAGAATCTTTTTTCTTTGTCCCCAAGCAATGCCCTGGGGATGGAGTGGTATGGAATGGAGTTCTGGTCACCAAGGTCAGCTCCATGCTGGTTCCATATCTCAACACACTGTGCCCGACATGTATGTTTATCTCCTGGAGACTCAGAAGAATGGAAACAGGGACTTGGACAGCTATGTGCACACCACATTCACAGAGGCATTACTGCCTGTAGTTAAGGGGTGCTGTGTAGCTAAAGTTTTCCTGGTTCTCTTCAGCTTCTGTGGCCCTGCAGCCAGCCACTTGGACCCAAGTAAACGCACAGAGACTTGTATTACTTATAAACTGTATGGCCGCGGTAGGCTTCTTGCTATCTAGTACTTATATCTTAAATTAACCCATTTCTATTAATCTATAAGTTGCCACATAGCTTGTGGCTTACCGGTACTTTACAGCTTGTTTCTCATGGTTGTGGTGGCTGGCAGCATCTCCTGACTCAGCCTTCCACTTCCCAGAATTCTCCTCTCTGTTCATCCTGCCTGTACTATACCTCCTGCCTGGCTACTGGCCAATCAGCGTTTTATTTATCAATCCATCAGAGCGACGCATTCACAGCACACAGAAAGACATCCCCAGCAGTGCTGCCCGAGTGTCTGACCGACAGTGGAGGGATGGGTGGACCCAGTGTGTGCATGCTCACCCTTAAGAGTGAAGGAGATTCTGACATGCTAGAAAATACGTTGTTAGAGGCTTCTCTGTCACGGTGTGTTACAGAAAGCGTCAACCTGAAATTCTGAAGGGCTCCTTCCACAGCATGCACCTCTCAGACGGAAAGCTAAAGGAGGGAGGAGGGTACCATGCTGTAGTAGCGAATGCCCAGCATCCTCGAGGCTCATCCCCAGCACTGTGCAAATAAAAAAATTTTTTTTTAAGCAGAAAGAAAGGGGCATTTATAGTTTGGAGAAGGACTCAGCCGGCTAGCATTCTACCCTCCATTGTTTATATTTAAAATATACAGGGCATACACACTTCTTTGGTTTTTTTTTTTTCCCCTGGCAGTGCTGGAGATCCAAGCATGCTAGGTCAATGCTCTACCTCTATTCCTTCAGGGTATATATTTTTATTTTTGCTGCCTATGGAAGATATTTTTAAATCCGTACTTCATGTTTTTATATTTTGCTTATATCTCATATTTTAGAAATCTTAGTTAAGTACATTTATTTATCAATGCTTGAAGTCCATGAGCTCATTATATCTAAGCCAGTCTTCCACTGCCCAATATTTAGTCTATATTATTTTAATAAGATCAACAGCACCTCAGGATATCTCCTAGGACAAATATCTTTATGTGATTTCCTTATTTTTTCTCCTGTCTGGATAAAACAAAACAAACAAAACAAATAAACAAACAAACAAAAGATAAATGCTTACACTGCTGAGCATGATGATGCACGCCTTTAATCCCAGCACTCGGAAGGCAGAGGCAGGCGGGTCTCTGTGAATTTCAGGACAGCCAGGGCTATTACACAGAGAAATCCTGGCTGGAAAAAATAAAATAAAAAGAGAAATGCTTACAGGTCTCTATATATGCTTTTCGCATAGCTTGTCCTCTGTTCTCTACAGGCACATAAAAGCACAGGCACACTCTCCCCAGTTCAAAGAAGGCTGTGTACCTTCTCTATGGATGCACCAGTGCCTTACAGCGCCGCATTTCCAGGTTCCCTGGCTGTCTGCCATTGCTTGTTCTAATGATGTTCTCTGTAACTTTCCCCTCTGGCGTAAAGGAGACACGTCCTGTTAATGTCCTTTAATCATTAATATCCTTTAATTGGGAGCAGGGCCGTGGCCTTTCTGCGCCTCTCTTGACCGAGGCATTTCCCCTCAGTGTTATAGCTGTTTCGTCTTAATAACTAAGTCCAGATTCTCCCCTTAAGGCAGGGATTCTGTAAGAAATGATGTCGTGTCCTTCTCAGGACATCATACCAGGAGACACATCATATGGGCATTAACCAGGGGTGTGTGGTCAAATGGTTGCTGACAACTCTCTCCATGTCGCATTCCTGTCTTTCCTCTCCTGTGAAGAAATTGTTGGAAAATCTGCTTGTCACTATAGTGACAACCTTGAAGATGGGAATCCAATCTCCCTTTTCTTCTATGTTCCTTATTCGGTGGATTAGATTTTCTTTATCCCTCACCATAGATAACCCAACCCATAAGGCAACATTCATGCTCAAATAAGTGATTACTCTTTTAAAAGTTATTATTAGTGACTCAAGTGGTAAATGCATAGATAATTCATGGAAAATCTTTATTGGATATTCACTACGCGTGAGATACCATCTAAGCAGCTGGCCATATGAGCTCTGTAAAATCTCCGTTTCTAGAACCTTTGTACAGATAGAACAAAACATCAGAGGTTAAGCAATTGGCTTAGTGTCCCATGGGTAATAAGTACAGACATGTTAGGATGTGAATCCAGGCAGTCTGGCTGAAGAACCCCTACCTTGTTACAAGGCAATGCCCCTTCCTGGTATTTCTTCAGGAACATTTCTGCTTTGCAAATGGAATCTCTCCGTCTTTCATAACAGACACTAGAGTGGACTCTGGTCAGCCCATCCTGCATACTGTTCCCCTATATTCCAGAGGCCAAAGGTGATTGGATGGGATCCTCCCTCCCATGGCAGAGGCTGGAAACCCTGCAGAGGAGCCTAACTTATTTTGAGAATCCTAACTTGGAGATACAGGTTCTTTATTAGCCTAGGGCTTCTAGCTGGGCCAAAAAGAAGTTGCGAGAGTCTCCAGAGCCCATAGGATCCATTTTGCCAGTGAGGTATGAAGCAGAGGCTGTTCTGTCCGTGGTGTCTCAAGCACAGTTTTCTTGTGTCTTCTTTCATTTTAGATCCCTGCAGGCTTCAGCGTGGCTGCCAACGTCCGGGTGGGAAATGCGTTGGGTGCCGGAAACATTGAACAGGCCAAGAAGTCCTCAGCAGTTTCCTTGATAATCACAGGTGCTTATACCTCACAGCCCAAGGCTCCCGGTGCACGCAGGCTGTGCATGGGGTAACGGGCCTCCCCACTTTCTGTGACCTCCCTCTTCACTGCCGTTTCTTCTCTGCTTTACCTCCAGAGCTCTTTGCTGTGACCTTCTGTGCCCTGCTGCTAGGCTGTAAGGATCTTGTGGGCTACATTTTCACCACCGACCGGTGAGTGCTGGGGTTTTCTTAACATGTGGGGTCTGTGATGAAGAAATAGATTAGGTGGATATATCATGACAGGTGGCTCCCTGGAGTAGCTTCATCTTGGCGAGGTGTTCCGAGTCATTTGCAAGATCAGAAACCTCACTGATTTACTTGAGAAGATCCTGATTACTGAGATAGAGAAACCAATTTGTAATCTGAATCTCAAGTTAGTGGGAATTGGTGGTGACAGTATGATTTCAATGGACATGATAGTTACGAATTTTTAAAAAAAATGCTTTAAATTACATTTAGTGTGTGTGTGTGTGTGTGTGTGTGTGTGAGGGTGATAGATAGATGGATGGATGGATGGATGGATAGACAGACAGACAGACAGACAGACAGATAGAAGTCAGAGGACAACTTGCAGGAGACAATTTTCTCCTTCTACCATATGGATTCTAAGGACTGAACTGAGGTCATCAGGCTTTCGACATCTTGTGAACCCCCATGTATTTTTTCTTTTTTTAAAGCTTTCCACACCACTGCTTGCATTTGGTTGTTTAGTGGTAGAATTCTCCCCTGCCACATTTACCACAGTTCCTATTCCCCTAATTTAAAAAAGAATGCTTGAAAATCTGAAAGCATTTAAGCACCAACATACCATAAATAAGGAATACTTTTGTCAGTTCAGGACTAACAATATGAAATGGGATAAAACAACTTAAAATAGATCGATACTATCCAAGCACTGGTACAGCTCTGAGAAGTGATGTAGCTCAGAGTTCCTAAAAGCTTTAAGATGCCAAGAGCTGCCCCTGGTCCAGCAAGGATCAGGTCTGAGCCATGTTACAGCTCTGCACACCTCCAGAGCAGTAGCTCTATGGGGTGCTGAGTGGTCTTGACATGTAGGGGTTCAAAACTGTTGTGGGAACAATGAGGTCCTTATCTGAAGTGTGGAGTGGAGTCTTGGAGGCTGAGGCAAGAACAAGTCCCCTCTGCCTACAGTTGCAGATGGAGTCCTGGAGGCTAGCTCACCTGAGCTCCTGCCAAGGAGGCCTCTGTCTCAGGTGAGTCTGTCCCAGTGAATCCTGAAGGCAGTTGTCTCTTCCTCCTCCACTGATTTCCAAAGGCCCCTGTACTCAGAAGCCCAAATGTGTAGAGCACTGGCTGTAACTGGTTGAATGTTGGTATGAAAACAGGGTCAACAGGGCTGGAGAGATGGCTCAGCAGTTAAGAGCACTGGCTGCCCTTCCAGGTCTCCTGAGTTCAATTCCCAGCAACCACATGGTGATTCACAACCATCTATAATGAGATCTGGCGCCCTCTTCTGGTCTGCAGGCGTATATGCAGATAGGACACTGTATACACAATAAATAAATAAATCTAAGAAAAAGGAAAAAAGGAAGAAAAAAGAAAATAGGGTCAACAATAGGAATTATTGAAGAGGAATGGTCAAACCTGGAGATGTGGGGAAGAACCCTGAGCCCACCAAAAGGTGCTGGAGTTCGCAATCAGGTGGGCAGGTCTGTCTCCATGGATACTTGTTAAAATAGTCCAACCACTTCTGGAGTTCCCTGAAGGATCCCTGACAATTCCCTTCTCATTCAGCCTGAATTCTTCTTCTGCAGCTGCTGCTGCACCTGTGATCAGCAGTTAGATTTCAGGCTCGAGCCTGCTGGCTGCCAGAAGACTGCCAAGTGGCTGCTAGAAAGCCCAGGGATGGGGGCATGTACCCCTGACAGTGTGAAACAGAAATGAATTTTGCATACAGACTTAAGTCTCCTCCTCAGGATGGTTCATAATGTCTATGCAAATATTCCAACATCTGAATATACCTGAGGTCTAAAGCACTTTGGTCCTGGGCAATCCATCGGGATGCTCAGCCTAGTGATGAGTCAGTCACCTTGATGTCTCAGATCTGCCAAACTGCCTGGTTTTTACAGTTTTAGAATATATTTGTCACACAGTTAAAGATCTCATCAGTGAGCTGTTTTGGGACTGGCACTGAATTGATGGCTGAAGAGACAAATCCATCCTGTGCTCGGCAGGGTTTTTGTCTTCTTCAGGAAGGCTAGCTCGGATGTTCTGATCGTATAGAAATCTCACAGAGACCCTTCATATTTGGGATACCTTTATCATTCATCACAAATTGCCAACTGGCTCTTCCTCCGTGGATTCAAAAAGCTATTGGAATAGATTCAGCTGCCTCAGTTTCCTCCTCACTGGCTTCCCCTTTGTCTTTGGATGGTAGGCTGACATTTTCTCAGCCTCAGCTATTATTCCACAGATTACTCCCTTCAGGGTGGATGAGGAAGGCAACCATAAATAGCTCTCTGTTTTTCTTTCTCAAAAGACGGACAAGGGGGTTGGGCCAGGCTCAGAGGTATGGGAGACTTCTTGTGCCTTCCACCATATGAATTCTGTGAAGGGGTGGTGTACTGTGGATTTCAGGCTGGAGTGGGCCTAGTGTCCCAGGTTGGCCTGGAGACCTTGCAGCAGCAACATGGCCAAACAGAAGCTGGCACTGTACTGTCCGCTCAGGGGCTTTGAGAGCAGAGAAGCCGAAGCTGTCCGCCCCCCCCCCCCCCCCCCCCCAGCGAGCCGTCCCCTCCCCACCCAGGAATCCAGGGTGTAGAAGCCTCTGCAGAAAGAACAGAAACCATCCTCCAAGCTGCTGGAGGAGAGAGCTACTGTACACTTGGGCCAATGTGGGGTCATCCTGGGGATACTCTTTAAAACCGCATTCAGCCAGATCAGTTTCAAGAACTCGGGTTAGGCCCCGCCCCCTGCTGGAGGAGGGGGCGGAGGAAGCCATCAAGAAGTTCCAGGAGATGTGCAAAAGAGAGACCCTGGTGCAGGCCCCCAAGAAAGAGCAAAGCCTTGAGAACCAAGTGAGAGGAAACCTGAGAACGTCATATTCCCGCGGTTCTCGAAGTCCGCCCTGCAGACCACTCTCAAGGCCAAGCAGCTTAGCTAGAGAAGAGTGAGTGAGGTCCAGTGCGGTTCTGTGACCCTCTCCAGAAGGGCAAACAATCCAGCAGTGGCTATTCCCAATGACAGGAGTTTAAAGTTATAGAGTCCCCTTTCCTAGGGTCCCTGTATCCTTTCTTCTGCTCCCAGGACCCCATTTTGGTACCCCAGGCTATGGTTCACCATGCTCAAATCTTCAGTCCGGGTCACTGCTCTGAGCTCTCCCACACCTTCAAACTGAGGCTCCTGCCCTGCCCAGAGATGGGGCCGGGGGTTGGGTGGGGGATAGAGCTTGGGTGCGTTCAGCCAGCAGGCTGATCAGGTTCTTCACTTACTGAAGAGTGACTGGAAGCACAAGGGTGAGTCCTGGGAGGGTGGGAGGAGATGATTGGCAGGAAGCCGAAGTTCAATGATGCTCTTGATTTTGATCCTGTATCACTTATCACTTCGTTCTTAAATAAAGAAACCCGAAACATAGTTTTTTGTTGGAGAGATGGCTCAGCAGTTAAGAGCACTGGCTGCTCTTCCGGAGGCCTTGGGTTCAATTCCCAGCACCCACATAGCAGCTCACAAACCGTCTGTACTCCAGTTCCAGGGAATCTTATGTCTTCTTTTGGCCTCCAAGGGCACACCAGGTACACATGTGGTACACAGACATATGTGCAGGCAACACCCATGCACATAAAATAATAATGAACAATTAAAAATACATTTAATTATTATATTTTCATATATGTACATACTATACTTTGACCATACTCAGCTCCCACTCCCCTATACATTTAATCATTTAGAGCATATTCTTTCTACTTATAAAAAGTTTGCTGTAGCACACTGCACGCCCTGCGATCCCCTCAGTGGCTCTGTGACATGTGTGTACCATGTCCCTCAATCCCAGCATTTTCTCTCATGCTGGATTTCATTTTATGTTATTTTGTTTATCAGGCCCTAGGAACAGCAGACTGCAATAGACAGACAGGACAGATTCATATCCCCCCAACCCCCAGTAGCAGACTAAACGATCTAGATTTATGTGGCCTCATTCTGTGATGTTCACATAGCAATGAAATTGGATAATAAGACGTTTCTCAGAATGTATCCCTGTCATTCTGTGTGCATGACCAACCCTTGGGCAGAATGAATGAAACAGATAAATCCTACTTCAGCTAATCACCGTGAAGAGAACACAAAGAGATGATGGGTAAACCTAATTCATCTGCTGGTGGGATACAGCCCAGGCTCTATTCCCCTCCCATCTCCCCTCCCTCTGCCCCCATCCCCAGCCAAGGATGTGGTCCAAGTGGTAGTTCTGTAACTCTCACAGAAGGGCATTTTAAAACAAGTGTCTCATTTCTCACAAGGAAATCATTTTATTTATATCTTCAGTCTTCTCTAGGGTAAATTTTGTAACAGGTAGGCAAGCAGGCAGGTGTGCACGTGTGTGCGCATACACACACACACACACACACACACACACACACACACACACAAAATCATTTAAAAAAAATCCCGAGATTAGTTCTCACAATCTCTTTTTGTAAGGAAAATTAAAACCTAGAAGAACAAAGGCAGGCATAGTCTTACATGCCCTCAATTCCCCCACTCAGGATACTGAGGCAGGAGGATAACAGGCTTGAGGTCAGCCTGGGCTACATAGTGAGGCTCTGTGACAATAAACAGGACAAAATAAGGACAACAAAAACCACAGAAGAAGAAGGAGGAGGAGGAGGAGGAGGAGGA